GCGCAGGGGCATCAACCGCCTTGACAACGCGAATATCTCCCGGATGAAGTGACGGATTTCGAGCGAGAATGCAGAGGCCCTCAATAACAGCGTATTTGCCTTCGCTGTGCCGCCAGACTTGAACGAATATTTCGGGAAGGCAATCTACCCTTTCCTGGTAGGTTGAGTTTGCTTTTGGCCGCGCACTGCGAAAGTATCCTTTCAGGGTCTTGGTCTCATCGATACAGCCTAAAAGAAAGGCCCCCTCATCTATTGCAATCTTGGCCTTCTCTTTGAGATACTTGATTTGCCAAGTACGCCATAATTCAAGTAGGGATGAAACAAATGGCTCCCGTGAGCCCTGAAAGCCATCACGTATCATATCCGCAAGAACCAACGTCATCTGGTTTGGGTCAACATATTTTTGTAGAAGAGAGACAGCCTTGTCCTCGTCAGTCATAGCCTGCTCTAAATTAGCCAACATCATACTGAGCTTGGCAATAAATACTTCATCAGGAGTTCCCAGGGCAGACAAAATAAGAATGAGCTGGCGGTTTAGAGTTGCGTAAGAGAAATGAGAATATCGGATTATTTCGAGCCCGTTATGGGAAGCTGGGAATTTGAATTGACTCCTTCGAATATGTACCTCTCGTTGACGAGCTTCAGGTGAAACTGCGAGAATGCCTTTACAGCCACCAAGCCGGAATTGAAAGACCGAAGGTGGCTCCCCCGATGGAGTTTTAATTCCAAGGTCGCTTTGGATCATCTGAGTCAAAAAATGCGATAAACGACCCACCCCGTCTGAGAATACGTAACCGTTTCGCTCGATATCATCAATCTTCTTAATCTGTACTGGACAGCTAGTAACTGCACGGGTGGTTGAAAAGCATTGTCCTAGTCTCGCTGCGTATTTGGCAACAACTCTGATATTATTCAAATCGCCCATTTGAGCACGGATATTGGCAGCGGTGAGATGCGGTAGTGAAGCAAAGAAGTATGCTCCATGCTCCCTAAGCTGAGAGTTGCCGAATGCCAGGAATTCGTACCGTCGATCGCCTATTGTGATACCGTGCTGCAACGTACGCAGGACTCGCGCATAGACTTTTTCCATGCACTGGCTATTGCCGCTATTGTTGGGATATATCTTACCTATGTATTTCTCGTCGCAGAACCGGACACGGAGAAAGCGGTCTGCATGCTCCCGATGGTAGCGGAATACACGATTAGAAGTATCAACAGATGGAATGTCGTAACAAATAGTAGAAGGGGTAACATCAGCACTCCTAATGTAACAACAATGACCCGGGATTCTACCATTGGTCGCTCCTTTGGGAAATGGTATGTTGAATATCTCCATTGGATCGTAATAGATAGTCTTGTTCATGGCAACGTGCTCGAGAAGCTCTTTCGCTTTTTTTTCGCCTAGTTGAACCAGTCGACGGACAAACGTTTCTTCGATTGTGTATTCATTTATGTACCGATGGGACATGCATACCTCTAGCTGATATCGAACAGAGAAGGGAAGGGGAATGTACTCGTCTTCTCCCAAATCTTCTAATGACGATCGAGGTCGTGATCTATGCGTGGAGGGAGCATCAATCCATTTCCAAACTGTAGATATAGGTTCAGCCCTTTCGATGACTTTAATATCATCGGTCTCTAGAATGTTGACATTAAAGTCCTTAAGCGCATTATTAAAATTTTGGAACTTGTTATCATCGCGCAGAGTATTCTCGTGGAACGCAAGTCGAAAAGTTGTCCAGCGCCCTACAAGTCAGGTTAGTAGATCACATTAAAACTTGCATGCCGCGTCACTATCCACATACCAAAGTTAATATACGAATTCTGTTTCCTAAGATTGACCGGCGTGCGAGTGATTATTTCAGGGTAGCGAACAATATCTGTTTGTCGGAACCATGTATCCCGCGAGCTCCAGACATTTTCATTCTCCGGAAAATGTTCCTTTTCTAAGGCGGTAATCTGCTGATGGCAAATTGCTGGCGAATCCAAAGGGATCACCAGGGAGGCCTGTTCCAAGCTCCTTATTTGAAAGATGTTCGTCAGTTGTGAAAACCTGATACAAAACCGAAATGGATTCCCCGGACGTGAATTTTCGGTATTTTCGGAGAGGTTTGCGGAGACCTTCGGTACGTTGACAAATATGCACAGTTCCCGATGTTCAACGTTGAGGACCAGACGAACAGTCCCTATTCTATTTGAGGGAAGAGATCTTAGCCGAAGAAAAGATCTTTCCTCAATCATGGATCCGAAATCCACTGACAGAGCATGTAATTCCTGGGCGAGGTTAGCGAGAACTGAGAGACCTCACCTGACCATGACTTACAATGGTTGCAGGATATTTCACCCCTGGTCTAGTAGGGCTCGCTATTTCTAAAATACGCCTCTGGGTCTCCAAATTGATACCTAATAGCACAGATTCATTGTTTTCAAGTGCCAACTTGTATCTCCTATTGTTCCAGAAGTCATCTCGTGGTGGCGGTCTAACATTATAGTTGAACATATTATATCAGCAATTAACAGTGAAATAAAAGTGACAAAGTGATGTGAAATTGGCTAATCACGCACTTAAATTGAATCTTGCCTTGCCCTTCTCGGTTCCCTTTATAGATCTCAATGTAATCGATATTGCCATATGCGGAAAATGACTTAAACAGCGTGAAGGTATTGGCATTTTTAGGGATTCGAGTTAGTGAGAGCGTAACTGACTCCCACGAAGCCCACTCGCCTTTGATGGGAGAGGTGTTTCTGGAGTCAGTATCTCTGCCCGTAAATCGTGTCGAAGGTGAAGAAACGTTCAACCCAGCTCTGCGACCGGGCCGAGAGTCAGATAAGGGCTCAGGGCGCTGTGCCATTTCTAAGTGTGCATTAGAGGGATCTTGCCTAGAGTTGGAAGCTGAAGTTAGAACGGCGGTGCATTGAGTCCAACACGATTGGGGGTCACTGCACTGCGATGGAGCTAGAGTCTGCTGGCCAGGCGTGCTATTTTGGAAAAGATGAATACAAGAGCAGGGCAGAAGGTTCAAGTAAGGTGAATAAGAAAAAGAATATTCTCTTCGCTTGTAATTTGGGGTGCTGATGAGAGGTGCAGATTCGAGACAGTGTGAGCCAGATTTCCAACATACCCTGGTGGGCAGCAGCCATAGACGTCGACACCAGGGCAACCAGGGAGTTGTGGTCGTTCTGATACAGCCGCTGTTGCTGCTACTAAGTGAGGAGAAAGGAGACTCTGTTGAGAAGATGAAGGAAGATGAAGTGGGGGGTGACAAGAAGGTGAAGAAGGAGAGGAAGAAGAAGAAAAAGGGCAGAGAGGTGTCTGCAGCTGTGTTAATAGAGGAGGAGGATTTGTTGACAGAACCTCAGGTCTTGTGATTTGTATGCGAGACTTGGCTGGAATGAGATGATGGCGACGGCGACCTCTACGCGATAACGCTTGGACGGTTTGTTGCTGTTGCTGTTGCTGTTGCTGCTGCTTGAGCTTCTCCTCTGCCTCCCGTTTCTTTTGTTTCATCTGCTTCTCGTAGGCCGCTTCTTCTCGCATTCTCGCGTTGCGAGGATCTCCCCTCCCCCGGCTTCTCCTGGGCCGCTTCTTCACATGCGGGATACTGGTGGCGGTTGCTGCTACAACATGCTGTAATGGGCAATGAAGAATATTAGCAGCTGTTTAATTCTAAAATGGAATTCTTAGAGGCATGACTGGATGAGACATGGCAACTGTAAGCTTGAACATGCTAGATGTGTCTGTGGGCCTGCACATTTCTGCACATGTAGAAACCCGCATACATTTGGTGCAAGAAACAGAGAAATGCAGAGACATGTCGTGCTGTGTGGTGAATTACTATAAATGAGAAAGGAAAATAAATAGGCATACTTACATTTGGAGCCTCCATCTTCATGCCACTCTTCTATTAATTGAGAGAGGAGTTTGTTCCAGGTTGTCAAAATTACTCGAGCGCGATAGAAGGTAGGAATAGGGCCTCAGCAAAGAGGGGGAAAATAAACACGGAAGAGAGGCTAGTAATGTGTATGTATACCAGCATAGATATATGTATATACTTGTGGTGTATATACGTAAATTTCTTCTCTCTATGCGCTAGGAACACCCCGGATCCTTTACTTTTCCGGGTTTAGATATATAAAACTGTAGTACAAGCACGCGGATTTGCCCGCCGGGGTGTATCATGACCAACGAAATATGGCAAAATTGGCTACATCCGGAAGAACTCGCAAGCAGACGCTTAGATAGGTATATATCATCTGGCCTCGGGAGTTTGGGATAGACGAACAAACTCTCTAGTAGCTAAGCAAACAAGTGGATAATGTGTGATTTGAATGCTGCAGCTACGCGTAGGGAATCTGTTCAACCATAAAAAACTAGATAAACCAGTCAAAATGAAAATAAAAAAAATGAAGATGAAATGATTCATTTTCTTCAAGGACCGCTCTTGTAATGATGGTCAACTCAAAAGGAGTAACTCGAGTGTGGGGTAATACCCTCAGAGAATATCTAGCGAACAATGGGAAATGGGTTTTACAGAAAGGAAACCCCCGATGAAAGAAAATATACTGGATCTGCCGAGCGAGCATCATATATGCTCCAAATCCTGTCAAAGAAACGAACCCAAGTAAAACATGTGGCACTCAAAGAAGACAGGGTAAATTCAACAAGCAAGCTAACAACAACCAAATAAAAGTTGTCGGTGACAAGATGAAACACAAACAGCATTTCATAACTCGCACTTATAGCTGTGAAATATCCACTTGCCAGGCCCATATATTCAACAGGAGTAGGTTGTGTTGAGAGAGGAAGGTGTCCCTGGACTTCCGGGCATTGGGCAACGCGATTTAAATGTTGGTTCCGATAAGATGTAGAGCTCGATGCCGTCTTGATAATGCCTCTCATATAGCGCATTGGACGCAGGCTTCTCACTCTCGTAACAACACGTACGTGGGTGTTGACAAGGAACATTCGGGAGGAGAAGTCTAGTGTTCTGAAGCGTCTTAAGGTCTTTGAACTTGTGCCCAGAGTTGAAAGAACATGGTTACGGAGTAGAGTAACTAACTTACAAGAGACGTCAGTTATACCTTGCATTCAGGTGGCTTATGATCGTTGTTTGCAGTATTGTTTGGAACTTCTTCTCTGTGTCACCTTTGAAGACGGCTATTTATTAATCGATCACTATATTTCTTTGACCACGTGCTGCTCCTTTTTTGTTGGGGGTCCCGGGTTGATCGGCCCTTCTACCAGCAGTGCGCTGGTTACAACTTGTTGTAGTGTGTTAGAAATTTTTACAAAATGGAATGTTTTCAAAGAGTAACTACTCCATAGTGCGGAGTGAGCCTGAAAATTTTTTTGCTGCGTCCAATCGTTCTCTTGGTCCTGTTCTGTGGTTTATTCGGGGTAGATTCGAGCTGGGAATCTTAGATGGGTTGACGTTCGCGAGGCTCAGTTGTCGTTAGCCATTCCTGGACTCGGTTTGCTCTTCTAGTTTAATAGAGGAAGGATGATTCTTGTAAAGAGGCGAAGGTAGATACCAGTGGTTAGTTAATTGCTTTCTCTGATGCTTGCCAATGAAAGCTGGTGTGGCGCCGACCATGCAGGCTACTTCATTCTTAGCTAAACTTTGATAGTTAACTGGTTGATGAAAATGATTAACTTACCACAATTCTCAACAGAAATGCCAGCAGATCGACTAGTTATATATTTCATCGGAACATATTTGTCATATCATAGACTACCCTACATTCTTATTTGGGTCACCTCCACAGGCAAGCATTTAAGCACTTGCCGCTTGGTCACTGGTATTTGGGGAAAGGAAGCAACATACCTTCATTGGAACACACAAAATAGCCAGCTCCGGCCGGGTGCGGCATCTTTTTCATCTTTTTGATCCGGTTGTATGGCATGGTTGCCCGTAGTTCCAACCACCAGCATGTAGAGCCACCAGTTCAAGCATCGCCAACCGCCTAGCGGCATCAAACAGTTGACAGATTGATTGTAGGTACATTAGCTGTCCGGAAGAGAACATACATACATAGTGTCGAAGCCGACTATGGCTAAACAAAGCAGGTTTCCGGCGTGACGGACCATATCACTTAGGGTCCGGATGCGCTGAGCTTGGAATTTTTGCCATTGTATTTTCCAGGTTCGTTCTTAGGGCCGGTCGCTTATCCCTCCCGTAACCAGGTATATAAAATTGTCTCTGCACACGGCCTCTGCACAATGGTTGTATAATCTCCAGGGAGCGGATGTGATAGGCATCTCCGCGCATATCTCCAAAAAATAGCTTGGCTCTCCCTAAACTGCAGGTCAATCTGTATGGATATATGGTAGCTCATGTCTTGATTCAAGGCGGAGGCTTTGCATTCCACAGGTCGGAGTATGAATATGTACCGTTATTGCGTTAAGTAGGAGCGGTAGGATTTGTGCAAGGCATTGAGAGCGAATGTCATGCATGGCTCCAAATAGCATTTAACAATCACCATGTTAAGTGTGACAATTGTCAAATTGCTCCGGGGGGTAGTTACAGAGCACATTTCCAAAATCTCCAGAAGGACTTTTGAGCCATACCATTCGCTTCAAGACTTGAACCAGCCCAACCTAGAATTCGTCAGCACATGGGTAGTAAAGTTTCTTCTTTCAGACTTCGCGAATTCATTAAATACTGACCACAGGAACTGAAGCGTTTCACGTCTCATCGTTCGAAAATGACTTGAAAGGCTCGAAATAGGGCTACCTGGGCGGCTGAGTTTCGCAGATGAAGAACCAGTCTTATATCCAGTATTTCTTGAAGTCATCGATGAAATTGATTTACTGAGGCAACAACATTCATCTAACAACATATTAATTAGCAAGGGTGCTTCCAAGAATCTAGGGGAAGGAGGAGTTTTCTCGGTTATCATCGCAGGTTACCACACACACAAACTTTTGAGTCGAATTCTGTTTAACATTGAAACTAACATTACCGTTCATCTAGCATTGTATTCCAATATTCGCGGTCAAAAGATAAATAAATAGGGCAGGCCTAGGAAAGTAGAATTGCGCCACCATCGCCCGGCCGCGCAAAAATCGTTCCCCATATTTATATGACAGGAACAGGAACAGCCGAGAAAAAAGAAATATATTGAAACTGTCCGAAACTCGCGCGTGGCACCAGCTCGATCTATTCGAATGTCTAAACTACTAACTACCCTTTAATTCTCCTCACACCTATCCTAAACTATAGATTGATTGATTGTTACAACGAATACCTAGTCATACAAAACGCTTAGAAACGAGCCGCCATGAGACCCTTCGGCCGAATTGCCGCAACCGTTAGCCGGCGAGGGGTGGGATATTACTGCCGTGCGCGAGGTCTTCAACAACGCCCACAGAAGATTTCCTGTCGATGGAATAGCAGCAGTGCGCCTGGCTCTCAAGCGCAAAAAGCAGCTCCAGATTCATCTTCCTTCAGAGCTGTTCAGGCTCTCGCTCTAGCAACCATTGCTGGCGGCCTCGGGTACGCGCTTGGTATCAACGATTCTGTCCCCGGCGTTTCGCAGCTATTTGGCCGAATAGATGCGGAGCCAAAATATGGAACGACGAAGGATTTAGAAAAAGCAAGCAATAACATCCCTTTCAAGTAAAAATATGTCAAACACAATTTTACCACACATTTACAATGTGCACGTATATACGGTGCTTAATATGCATACAAATGTCCGCAGACTAACCCGAGATCCGTGGTGTTGGCAGGCAATTGCCGAATTACGCACTTTGCTAGGAGAGGATGCGATAAGTACGGACGATGAAGACCTGCATCTCCATGGTTATTCGGAATGGTCATCAATAAACTGCGAACAACTACCCGTCGCCGTGGCCTATCCCAAGAACACCCAGGAGGTATCCCAGATCGCCCAAATATGCCACAAGTATCGGATGCCCATGATACCTTATTCGGGGGGGAGTAGCCTTGAGGGGAACTTCTCAGCGCCCCACGGGGGTATGAGCATCGACTTTGTCCATATGGATAAGGTCATTGAGCTCCATGAAGATGATATGGATGTTGTCGTCCAGCCGTCTGTTCAATGGATGCAATTGAACGAGGAAATCAAACATACGGGCCTCTTCTTTCCCATTGACCCGGGCCCATCCGCCAAGATTGGAGGCATGGTTGGGACAAATTGCAGCGGCACCAATGCTGTTCGCTACGGGACTATGAAAGACTGGGTTATCAACCTGACAGTGGTGCTGGCCGATGGGAGAGTCATCAAGACACGAAGACGCCCGCGGAAAAGCGCAGCGGGATACAATTTAACAGGGATGTTTGTAGGATCTGAGGGGACGCTGGGAATTGTCACAGAAATAACTCTCAAGCTCGCTGTACTGCCTGAAGAGACGAGGGTTGGCGTGGCCACGTTCCCGAGCATACGTGATGCCGCTTCTGCCGCCATGAGGGTCATCCGCACCGGGGTTCCAGTCCAATGCATGGAAATCCTTGACGAGGTGCAGATGAAAGTTATTAATGGCGCTGGGGGTACCAATCGCGTATGGAAGGAGGTTCCCACGCTCTTCTTCAAATTTTCAGGATCGCCCGCTGGCGTCGCTGATAACATCAAAGCGACCAAGTCTATTGCTAAGAAAAACAACAGCAGTTCTTTCGTGTTTGCAAAGGACGACCAGGAAGCTCAGGAGCTATGGTCTGCACGCAAGCAGTCTCTCTGGAGCATGATGGCGCTTCGAAAGGAGGGAGATGATATTTGGTCTACGGATGTTGCAGTGCCCCTCTCTAGGCTCCCTGACATTATCGGTAAGTTTTACACCCGGCTGCCATTTAATTGAAAAAGTGCAAGGAAATAAAAGCAAACGGGATTTGTAGAGTTTTGGCTGATTTAAGAAATACAACTAGAATCGTCAAAGAAGGACATGGATGATCTAGGGCTATTTGCCAGTATCCTCGGCCACATTGGAGATGGCAACTTCCACGAGAGCATATTGTACAACAAAAAGGACCCTGCCCAGCGGGCGAAGGTGGAAAAGAGCGTGTATGACATGGTTAATCTTGCACTGGAAATGGACGGCTCCTGCACAGTAAGTTTGCAGCCCTCTTCATCTTCCTTCCCTTCTTTGCTTTTGCTCTAAAACCCTCCCTTTATCGCTGTGTGGATATTATTAACGTCCTGATTGATCTATTATCACTACTAACTACATTATTTAGGGCGAGCACGGTGTTGGACTCGGTAAAAAACAGTCACTTGTCAAAGAAGTCGGATCGGACACCATCGACGTCATGCGCAGTATCAAGCGCTCCCTTGACCCCCTCTGGTTGTTGAATCCTGGGAAAGTATTCGAAGCGACACGTAGTCTGGAGGAAAATCTCACGAGGCAATAGAAAGTGCGCAAACACCCGTATATTCAATCCGTAAACGAGATCGCTGTCTTGAGAGAACTTATTTTCCGCCACAGTAGACGGGAGAATGTGTTTAAGACAATCTCTTTTAACGCTTTCTATGTTGTTGTGATGCGCATGAAGTGAGGTAGTGGTGAAATATGTCAATCATCAAATATAATCCTATGTAGTTTTCTGAGATGTTTTGTACCGCCGTCACTAATTTAAGTTAGTGTGAGAGAAGTAACTAGTTAGTTACCGTTGGATGCAAACTAGACAAACCTCCAATGGCCGCCTTCCAAAGTTTAGGCCAAGGTCCTGATCCAGTTAGCCTTAGGGCTACACTCACACTAACCCAAAACATGAATCTAAGCGAATTTCCGCAAGCCTCCAAAAACTTCTCCAGCTCGCACTTCTTTTCGCCGACAACCTCCACTCCGCGACAACGACAATTCGAGGTATCAAGTCGACAATCAATCACAATGGGCCGTGGACCGTATGTTACTCACTGATCCGCCAATTCACGTGAACCATTCTTGAAACTAATGCGTTTTGCGATTTTAGAAAGAAGCATCAGAAGCGCCTGAGTGCGCCTTCGCACTGGCTGTTGGACAAACTCTCCGGTTCCTATGCTCCTCGCCCATCCCCTGGTCCTCACAAGCTGAGAGATTGCTTGCCTCTCATCGTCTTCATTCGCAACCGGTGAGCCCAAGATTCCGAACATTGGACGCTGTAGATGGGTTATAGAAATACTAACAAGAGCTCGTGGATGATAGTCTGAAGTATGCGCTCAACTCGCGTGAGACCAACGCCATTCTCATGCAGCGTCTCGTCAAAGTCGACGGAAAAGTCCGCACTGATTCCACCTACCCCGCTGGCTTCATGGACGTGATCACCATCGACAAAACCGGCGAGAACTTCCGTCTCGTCTACGACACCAAGGGCCGTTTCACCGTTCACCGTATCCAAGCTGAGGAGGCCGAATACAAACTTGGCAAAGTCAAGCGTGTTCAGCTCGGCAAGGGCGGTATCCCATTCTTGGTTACGCACGATGCTAGAACGTGAGTTCCTCCGCATCATTCAGTCGTTGGACCAAGCTTTGGTTGATATCCTTGGAAACACGATATCACGATATCCTGGCTATATTTCTTTTATGAAGAACATGGGGAAATTATCCCGAAATGCTGACATCTCCCTTTCTGGGGTATTATAGGATCCGTTACCCTGACCCTGCTATCAAGGTCAACGATACTGTAAAGATCGATCTGGCTACTGGCAAGATCACTGACTTCATCAAGTTTGACACTGGTGTTATCGCCATGGCTACTGGTGGTCGTAACATGGGACGTGTGGGTGTCATTACCCATCGTGAGCGTCATGATGGTGGTTTCAACATCGTCCACATCAAGGATGCCATTGACAACTCCTTTGCCACTCGTGAGACCAACGTCTTCATCATTGGACAGGACAAGCCATGGATCAGCCTGCCCAAGGGCAAGGGTGTCAAGGTACGCCTTTATTTCCCTCCTTGCCTATTCGAAATATATACATGTATGCTGACCATATTATTTAGCTCTCTATTGCTGAGGAGCGTGACCGCCGCCGTGCCATGGCCCTTGCTGGTCACTAAGTTTGTAGTGACATGTGACAAAAAAATAAATAAAATGAAATGAAATATGCGCATGACTAAACAATTTCATGGGGAGAATGGCGTCCTGTAATGGTTTGAATTGTTTGATACCTTATGTTTTGATACTACTGTTGCACGGCTTTTTCCATAATATACTATCCAGGTTGAACGATTTCGTGGGGATTAATGCATGAGCATGATCCAAACCCATTCGTCTGGCCTGGTCCCTATATTTTCCCCAAAAGCTCTCTGCAAACGTAGTTCAATTCTAGAATACAAAAGAATATGTCAAGTTGGAGGATTTGCCAAACCCCCCAGAGATTCAAAGTTTCCTTGCGTATTGGGTGCGAACAATCTACGTTAGACTTCAGAAATTGCCGACTCCATCTTTCTCATGAAATCATGTTCCGTTCCCACTACATCACCCAGCAAGCATAAACCCTCCAGTCATATCCGTAGCCTTACCTGAGCAACAAGCAATGCCATTCTTTTTGCAGAATCTTGGGCATGGAAACTCAAAATAAAGTTGCCGCTCAGGGTCGCCTATGACTTACCAACTTTTCCCTCATCGCAATTCCCGTATATTCTACCTCTTGCAGACTGTATCGATCGTATCTGCACCAGGTTTTTGACAAAGGATGATCTCGGTGCTGTGAACAAATCTATCAGACAAAATGCCTATGCTAACAATGTCGGGGATTCTATTCTATGTGTAGCATGTGCTTGTATACACTGACTGCATTGAGCGCAAGTAGAGTAGTTTTAGGGATGAGATATGGGGCGATTGATATGAAATCTGAGTTGAATTATTTCTTAGTAGTATGTGCATTAATGCATGAAAAGTAGACTTTCAGCTCCACCCATGCCAGCACCACCTGCATGCATTGATGCACAAAACCAACCAACCAACCCCCCCAAAAAAATAGAAAATAAAAAATAAAAAAGAGGCAATATTCTACCCTACCGACAACACGAGTGCTCAATCTCAAACCCTCCAACATTGCCCATTGCGCTGCATCCCGACTGAGCGGATGAACCATCCATACATTACGTACCTTGATAGAAAACATTGCATATATTGCACACATGTTTCGTCGCAGCACATGCACACGTACCCAATCAAGCAGTGTTCGAATTCCCAAGTCACGCATGGGTTTTTGGTGGCGAATCCATACGTTCTTTCACATACATATTAACAGGGTACGCACTTGAAAATCCTTTCATGGGAGAATCTGAAGGGGCCGTTATTTTGAGGTCACTATATATCCCAACAGATGTAGTAGGAGAGAAATCCGGGAAACAAATCGCACGCACGTCAGGAAGGGTGACGGGGCAAGATCTCAGGTTGGTTGTAAACTGATCCGTCAGATTGGCGAGTGGCCAGGGGTGCCGCAGATATCCCATCCCACTGTGAAGGTGCTCGGCGACCTTGTCTTTTGCCCCCTTTTTCAGCCCAAGCATCACCACGCCGCCTAGTTGTCGCACGAGAAGTCGCGACTGGTGCTTCCTCAGTGCTTCGAAATCAATCATTGGGAAGAAAATTTATCGTGGAGGTATAGTTTTACACATATAGTGGGTATACTTTATATTTGCGTGTATTATGTATGATAAACGAGTAGACAGTCAGAAGCAGCTCCTCCCTAAGAGTCGCACACAGAGGCCAGTGGCGGGAAGATTAACCACGGCCTCGAGCAAACCAGAATATGCAAAGCACAAACTAAAGTGTTGGGGGTAAATTTATGAAAGACTTCGTATAGGCAAAGAGAGAAACCAGCTGAAAAAGCAGGACGGAATTGGAAGGTTATCCGACCACTCCCAGCTGGCTACTATTCATTGCATAACCCTTCTTGCTGCACGCCACTCAAAACTGCAACGAGGTTTTGTTAACTCGCAGAGGCTTGTAATCGACATGATCACCTTTCTTTGCTTCAATCAATTCTGATTTTGTGATTCCGCTGATGAAACCTCGCATAGTGGATTGATAGGTGCATATACCCCAGGAGATCATGGATTGGTCATTAGGCATGTAGCTAGAAAACCGGAGAAATAATCAAATGTTCTCCAAACGCGGGACGAAAACTCAATTCTATACCTGGCTCTGGAAGCATGGGGCCAATAGTGAGTTCAGACGAGGCGCATAGGTCGATATTCCTCGCAGGAAAGCGGGTGAGTGAGTGTTATATGGATGTTATTGGCACGTCCTCTCCCCGGCCCTTCCGTAGCTTTGATGTCTCAGGTGGCACGAAGGCTTTGTAAAGGTGATGGGACTTTGTGGCAAACAGGAGGAAGAGAGATATTAATGGCCATTATATCATAGTGGCTGCAGGGTAGCCTGCCACTAATTTTCTCCCATTGGCGACCTTATACCACTTTTGAAACCCATTTTAGACGTTCCCACCTGCGTATGGGTTAAACCAATTTGAACCTATTTTCCTATCAGCGGTCTAGAGCTGGCCTGTCCACCGCCTTAATGCGCGCCTTGCAAAAATGACCCTGCGGGTGTTCACGGCGAGGTTGCGGAGACTCATGGAATCGGTGGATGCCATTCTCGCTTACGGAGTGGATCGTCAAGAGAGCTCTGCGAAGATTAAGAGGGAAAGTTGATATAGCTAGATAGTGGGTGGGTGGCTGTAACGCATACGTAGCAAAGGGTGTGGGCCATACCTTCAAAGAAGAATGGATTGATGAATGCAGGCATCACATATCGCGCATTGTTCATAGCCGTTTCTAGCGCATAAAACTGGAGAAAGCGAATTTCACGGGAGAAAATTCAATACGCAAAACAAATCATTACGTGAAAGCCATCCTTTCCTCAGTTTTTGTCTGTCAGCTATATTGTCACCGCAGCCCCTAATCCTTCGATCTGGCAACAAATAACCGATGGCTATCACATCACGGGCTTGCTAGTGACTGATAGGTAGTTTAACCCTAGAAGAAAAACAGAATGATACGGCATCTTATAATCATATCTGCTGTTTCCTTCATCACTATAGGTCAGGAAGGGGGAATAAGCCCACAAGCCCCAGCTCTCCGTATGACTGATATTCTATAGCATGGGGGCGGAGAAACGGTAACCCAGGCCTGTTTTGTAATATTTTTCGGTATGATGCGTAGTTATTAGCAGCGTCAAGGAGGTCAAAGAAATTTGACGGGAATCCTACAAAGCCTTGTGATGTAGCGCCCGTTGCTGGAAAAAGCAGGTTGAATGAAAACCTTTGCGGGTTCGCTTTCTGAAGACCATGGATGATTGCTGTTGCCGAATAATAATTCCTTTGGTTGTATAGATCCTTTTTAAACCAATGCGTCAACCGCTGTCATATGGCAAGGTCTAAACCAAGGTTTGTATGAGCGCACGGAGAAAAAACTAACCTGAACACAGCTTTTAAAATAGTCAATCAGGTCCGGATAAGCGAGACAACACTCCTCGGTAACTGTACACAAATTATCCCAGTTTGCTGTCAATCGGCGGAATATGGAGTCTTCTGTAACGAAGCTTTGTAGACATAGGCCAGTAAAGTCCCGGTCATCCGAGTGTGTAAGACTCCTTGCCAGAGCGCGAGGAGAAGATGCCTCGAAGAACTCGTCGAGTAAGGGAGATTCAGCCTCAAAGTAGCTATCCCATTTCACATCTGATCCTCGATGGTATATTTGGTTGAAGCGGACCTCCAATACCACCAGTTTCTTTAACATCCGTATTAGGCCGTTTTGCTGTGTTGTGAACAAGTTTTGTATAGGGATAGTGAGGAATCTCATAAGTCTGTGCGCCGATAACGGAGAATCGTCAAATTCCAAAATTCTTTTGGCTTTAAGAGTGCATAAAACCGCCTGATGAGCAAAAGGATTGCCCGAGCGGAGACGCTAAAGGAAGGTTTAGTGTTATAAATATCAAAGCATTGGGGACTCGTACGGACCTTTTCCACCTCGACGTATTTATATGCTTGGTCAGGGAATTCGTTGAAATGGGCCATGAGGTAGCTAGAGAGCTGAGAATGTTGCATGAGGAACCATTCCACCGATGGCGTGGGGTATCCAAGTGAGTAGTGGACCCAGTCTTCGAACCGAACTGCCTTAAACTGCAAGTAGCTCTCGTCGTTAATGTCTCTCGCAACGGCTTCATAGCAGATCTCGTTCGGGGTGGACGTGGGAAACCAACTCCAAGGCCTGGCTTCGTTATCCTTAGAACGACATAGGCTCAGCAGCTTTTCGACTCTATCGTAATGAGTAAGCTCCGTTACCACTGTGCCATCATTGGGAGATAGCAAGGAGTTGAGAAATGCAGTCACCGTGTTCGCGTCTCGACTCCGAAGTATGGACCTTGGGAGGTTGTCGTCGTGATACAAACGGAACTGCACAAGTCGTTTGATGGATTCAACCGCAAATGCTCGCAGGATAAAGCTGGCTTCATCTTCCCACCATCGCCATTGGACATCAAAACGGGGCGGCTTTAGGTCGACCTTGAAAGGAGGCACGGAAATCGGTACTGGTCTGGAAACGGTGGTAAGAGGGTTATCGTGAGTTGTAGGGGGTGTTTCCAATATATATCCAGCCGGCTTCATGATCTCAGCGGGGTAGGCTTGAGCAGAGTCATATTCGGCCGGCGCGTCAAAGAGTTGGGCGGTTTGCCAAAGGAGGAAGGGCCTGCCATTCCCTTCTGGGAGCTGAGCCATGTCCCCAGGTTCCGTCTAGCGGCAAGTAGATACAGGCATTCACTAGTAGAGATTATACGAAGCAGAAGGAGAGTCATTCAGAACAGGGGGATCATAATTGTTCTCAAGTCCAAAATCGAAGGAGAGTGGTGAAAAACTGAAAGAGGGTCAAAAAGATGCGACTACAGGGGATGATGATTAGCAGGATGAGGTGTGATCAGCTGGAAAAGCCCGAGGGGGGCGAGGATGAAGAGTGTAAAAGCCGATTTGCCTTGGCGGTCTCCGATGCTGGAATCAAGCGTAACATGAAGGGTGACTTTGAAAGCCCTCACTCTCCATTCTTCTTCACCGTAAGAAGGCCGGCTTGGCTGGTAACTATGGGGGGCTTTGACAACTCTTGCCATTTTCGAGATGGGCTCATGGCCAAATAATGGGGGCGTGGGTGGCGTTCCCCAAATACCGCTTGGGTATGCTGTCCCACTCAGGCGGATTCCGAGTTCTAGGTTTGTGGGTTGATCCTTATAAAAGAAACGTGAAACAGGAGAGACAATCAATGCCAACCATGTAATAATACTCCAATTTGACACCCTTTAGCTTGAACCTGCCCCTCCCCCTGTGTGCAGTGCTTCCGGGGTTGCATTCCAGTCCACAGTTGGCTCGATCTTAGCGAGTTGACCTCCAGCAGGTCGGCAAACACTGGCACTCATTGTTTGCCAATCACAACGCAGGTTGTCAGAGAAGCAACCGCAGTGACTGGATACGATAAAAAGTGCCCCTTCAAGCGCTCTGTCAAAAATGGCCGGTATGGTATGGATTACATCGTGCCACGGGAACGCACGCTTCACCCACGCTGGGGCTCTGATACAAGCTTCACCTTTCCTTAAGAAGAACGGAATCTGCTAGTGGCGGACCCATCGAATCAGCCCGAATTCCAGAACAAGCGTATTTTTAGGAAACCGAGCGAGGAAATCTCCGGGGTCAGATTGAACCCTTCCAGTTGGTATTCTTACCTTAATAATAATAATGGGTGCTTTGTATGTTTGTGCTTCGGCAGAGACCAACTGCTGAACGGCGATTAGCCGTCTAATATATCGCGTGCGTGCAAAGATCCACAGCGACATCATCGTAATAATAATGGAGTGGTTTTGGGTGGTTGATTATATTACATCCCTAGTGCCCAGGATTGGACTCCAGACCCAGCCATTATTATTAAGGGGCGCGCGAGGAGCCACTGGACCAAGCGATGGTTGTTATCTGCTTGCCCCTTGATGGCAACGAGGAGTTATGGAGGTGCTAACTGCTTTGGCAGCGTTGCCAGGATCGGATCGCCATTATTATTATATTCCCAAAGGCCACGACTGAAGGCGCCGTACGGAGTAGACCTTCGGGTGTAATTCCGGCGGGGGCTGGCTGGCTGTCTTGAGTTGTTCTTTACTCGCAATTATTCGTCAATTACTGCGTACAGACAGATTGCATCATGTTGAGGAAAGCTCCCTAGCTTATTAGTCATCCTCGGCCAATCTGCACTTTTTTCGTCGGCAAACGGAAACGGACCGCAACTTTCTTTTTAAAAAACAGCCACAATTCGCTGAATGCCGCTACTAGCAACCACCCCGCTGGTAGGTACTCCGCACATGTGCGCTTACGGCGGGGTACGTACTTGTTCGGACTACATGACTCGAGACCTTTAGAGTCGTGGCCTGACGCTCGGCCCGCCTGAGGAAGCGCTATTTGATATCAAACTCAAACAGGAACCACTCTCGAGAGCCCTTATATACTGTGTGAAGGCAGCTGAGCCAACCGCGGAAGGATGAGATATCATAAGAAATGAAATGGCTGTATGCTAGAGATTCATTACGGGGCGAAGGCACAAAAGCACCTCCATGTGTAGCGGATCATTGGGTTCCAGAGACGGCCTTGGAAGCATAACTGGCTCAACGGACCTCACGCTACAATATCCTTGCAAATACTCCGCTTCTGTCAGCCTGGGGGAAACCTGGGTAAAGATGCCAGCAGAAATTTGTAGCCTTGCTGATCGAGCTGTACTCTTCTGCATCCGCCTCTGATTCTTCTCGCAACCCAACCACAGGAGAAGATTTTGGGGGGGATTTCTGCATTGCAGTTCCAAGTATAGTGCATGTTACCAGTGTCTGCATCCCAATTGTTTTTATTTAGTGGCTCCTGCAGATCGACACTTCTCTACATCGATTGCCCAGGATGGAGCCTTTTTTTGTCCAGCCCAATTCGATACCGTACTGGGGCGGGCTTTGTAGAGCACTACGTCAGTCTCGCTCGAGAACCCCTCCCAATTTCCGCGCACTAGGGATGTGTTTGGTTCGGTTCATCTTCGAGAGGAATGTTTCGAGGTTCACTGGTTTGGGAACAGCTTGGTGTTCCTGCTTCTCAGCCTAGTCTCTCGTTTGCTTAAGAAGTTATCTGTCGCCAAAATCCTAGAAAACATACCAAGAATTCCTTGTTATTTGCCACCTCAAGCAACGCATCAGACCCCAAAAAACAGCATCCGTACGTTTGGAGTAATTCTCAAAGAAGCTTCCCGGCAATTCTCTTAGAGTACGTATCATCATGAATTTGAGCCCACTACATTAACCGTGCCATGCTTACTCACTCTCTGTAGTGAGTGCGCCACAGTGTACAGAAAACCACATCATAAAGAAAATATTTTGAATATAGTAATCTTCAAAAATTAATTAATAATCATCATCACATCTATCTATAACATAAAGATTATCTATATACTCATTAGAAGGTGTAGAATCCACTGTAAGTTAAGATTCTATAGAATTATCTTATTATGGTTGAGTGGCTGTAGATTTTATAGATTTGATTTCAATTGATTGAAGAGTCTTATTGAATGTCTTTTTCATCTCATCTACTCTATGAGTTGTGATCTTGTAATTGATATTCTTAATAGTGAGGACTTTATCTACTTATACCTGTCTGTGAGAGAATTTAATGACCTGACATCTATTTGCTTAATAATGATCTGTAAGTTCACTCTCACAGTGCATGTTCAATTCTGTCTGAATTATGCTACTCTTGAAGATTTTGTTCAATCATCTTGTTAAATCAGATGTAAGAGTATTCTTCACATCTTTTAAGGTCTTGACTGCTGCATTGATTTAATGATGTAGTTTTGCAACTGTCTTTGAGAAGATTAATTATAAGAAGATAGTTAATGATTAATCTGCAGATAATGAGGTAAAGTGATCATATATAGACTGATCACTGAGACCATGAATTTCACATTTGATCTCATTTAATCTGGTCTCATACATTTCTTGACGTGAATCCCGCTGGGACTGGCTATCAAAAAAGCATGCAAAGTGACTATATATCAGATTTTAAAATGAGACTATGACTTGAAAAAAATGAGAAAGTGATCTCATTTGATCTCATTTAGTTTCATTCTTGACATAAAGTTACTATTTTTAGACATTTTAAGGTTTTTTTTAGACTATTTTTAATTTTTTAAAAAGTAACACTTTTTGATAATGCTCAAATGAGATTTAAAGTCATTTAAAGCAATAAAAATAATTTAAATTGAGAAGTGGAAATCATGATCTCATTTGGAAAATGTGATAAGAGTAGACAGTAAGTCTCACTGAGACAGTATAAAACTACTATTTAATGTTAAAACTGTGTAATGAGATCAGTTGAATTGATAATGAAACTATTAAAAAATCTGATCCCGGTCTCAGACACGGTCACACAGTCAGTCTAATCATATACATCATCATCATTATTATATATGTTGAGATTCAAGACATTATTAATGATAAGAGATCTCAATCAATTGAGAATTATATTGCAATTAACTGAATACATTTCACAGTCAGTAAAGTCAGCTCTCACAGTATCAGGTTTAAATACTTACAGTTAGATACTCTTCAGATTAGTAAGAAATTGTCTATCATTATACTACTCATATCTGTAGCAGGCAGCCTCATTAACTGCCTTTGTATAATAATACTTATACTGCTGAAAAGATACATTATCAAGAGATTGTAGAATATAACTTGTATAAGATGAGAATCTGAACAGAATAATCTTATAAAGATTACAGTATTAAATAAATTCTTCTATGAGATGAGAATCATGATTATTTATTAATAGCAGTTGATAACTGCTCATTTAACACTTTTTTATCATCTTATTGAACTGCTTAATTCATTCAAATTCAATTTTATTATTTGTAAAGCCAGACTCAGATGCAGTGATAATGTAGTTATTAGATAAGTTAAAGTGTGTATATCAATTCTCTAGATAAATCTTTAATTTCATTATAATTAATGAATTCAATACTGTGTTATCTGTATTAATATACTTCATCACTGTTATTAATCTATGAGAGTATAATAACTGTATGATGAAATTTATATCTTTAAAGACAGTTATAACTCACTGTCTATATTCTTCTTCTTCTTGAAATTCAATCTCATCAAAGTTATAGATATCACAGTGAAAAAATTGATATTAATTAAAGACAGCTTCATATCAATTAAATTAGTTAATAATGAAGCTTATATTCTTATAAGATACTTATTTTAAATTCATGAGTTTTTACTTAACTTATTTATAATCTGACAGATGTTTGATGAATTGATATATTCATATCTTACTTACTGTGAGAGATGCAGTCTCTGAATCTGTATAATACTATCTTAATATACAGTTCACAGCAGCTTCAATATACTTAATGATAAATGAGTAAAAATTAATATTTAATTGATGAATTCATATCTTAATTGTCTCTTTCTGACTGTCATTCAATGCTTAATTCAGTGAAATTCTCATAATTCTTGATTTCTTCTCATTGATTCTCTCATACAAGGTGATATATCATATATGAGACTTTGAATTCTCATGACAGAGATGTGATTTTTAATTTTGAATTGCTTTTATACATGTCAACAGCTCTTTGCAACTGCTTCTCAGTGTAATTAGAAGATTTAGACATGATTATAATTAATGATGATTATTTGAAGATGAAGAATGAAGATATTGAAAATATTTTCTTTACAGTGTGGTTTTCTGTACGCTGTGGCGCACTCACTACAGAGAGTGAGTAAGCATGGCACGGTTAGCATGCTGTGTACGCCAGTCAGATACTGCCACCGCTTAAGTAGCGGAAAGATTGGAATGGAAACAGTGGATGGCCTGACTGCTGCTTTTTGAGTTCTCCAGGAAAGCGGGTATACACAGCATCTCTCTCCGCACGGTTAAACAAGGCTGTTCAGCTTCCTGAGGAGGAACTGAGGGGCATGTAATGAGCAGAGCTCGCTTCGCTTAAGGTGCAACGGTTTCCGTTAAATCCAACCTCTTAAATTCAGAGTTTCAACCTGCCACGAGAAGCCAAGGGGCCAATTGATACCCACTCCGCTGCTGCATATTTCCATCCCCAGTCGGTATCGCAAAGCCACTCACTCTGGTCACACTACAGAATAATAGTTACAAATTGATTTACGCATGGCTTTAGGGTTTCCATACTGAACCTGCGTTGTCTCTCTCCACCTGTTAAGCGGATCCACAATGCGGGATATTACCATGGTAAAGGGTCGGGTGCTAACCCCTAGCTTGGGACGGGCGCATGCTTGGAGCGTGGGCCGTTGTTTCGTGGAATCGCGGGCGCTGTCCGCGTTCGCTAGCCCGAGGCTCTTAACACTCTAGCTTACCGAAACCACGCCGCCTGCTGGCCCTTGTTCCACGTCATGCCAATAGCTCTAGGTTTTGAACTAAGCTGCGTCTGTTGAATGTGGGCGGTCAAGAGCAATGATTCCGCCAAAACTGCTCAGGGAGTCCAGTGGCACTTTGCGTGAGAACAAAAAATTCAATCTTTCATTTTTATCTTTCGTAAATAAATCGTGCCTAATAATGTCATTCCCCAAATGAAGAGCTAAGCTTACCAAAGCCGACACAGGAACAAAAGACCTAAAATATCCTCGTTAAGCTCGCTGGACAAGCTATTGGAAGGTGCTCATTACGCTCCCACAGCGGTTGCCTGTTTCTAACGAAATTTTTTTCAATGATTTACGTTCGCAGTCCGAAATTGGCTGGTAGCGATGCCCCCCGTCTCAGTCCGTAAAGCCATGCTGTTCTCTGCTTATTTGCTCAAAACAATACAGCAATCGGCAATTAGGTTAACTAGACCGGAGTGGAAATGCATGAGCAGCCCCATATCCTACAAATGATATACGGAGCTCAATCGCTGTTTGGAGACGCTATACCCGATTACTTATTATTCGGGCCTTAACAAACCCGAAAGAAAAACAAAAAAGACGGCAATTAAGCAGTTGCTGAATCGGACTATTCATTTGCCCAAGGTGACAATGGATACAACTATAGCCTCATACGGACACAGCGGACTTTTCTTGGGTTACAGCTTGTAGCTTCAACCACTCCCTCCATTTACGGGTGATTGGCAAGGTATGATGCAGGCTTGAGTTACATGATAACCAGACGTTTGTAAGTACTGTACCTCGTTTCTGGCAAGCCCAGAGTGCTTGTCAAACTGAGATCAGCTTTAGGTGAAGCTACGCCAGTCTAGTATTGATGCAATCTGTCACTACCCACCTATCCGCCAAATGTGTGGACCAAAGCTGACGTTTAAGCAAAGGAAATGGTCTAGTCATTTACATTTCTCTCTGCAAGGCTAAGTAACACCTGACAGGACCTCAAGCTCCTTCTCGAGACCAACCTCCATGCTTATGGCTTTATTGGCTCATTTGGTGTGAGGGAATGACAATGCTCTTCCTGGACTGCCTCGGAGACGAGGTGCATACATGATGAAGTACGTGTCGACACCTGAAGCAAAGTGAATGCACACAATTTTGCTCGGGGATTGTTTACCGCTTCGAGCTCATCGTGCATAAAAAAGCGGGATTTTCAGACCGCCCGGTTTACACGCGCTCCCGTCCCCCACACCTTCAGCGGACAATATTTGGGACATCTCGCCCTTTTCTCCACATCCTTCTTATTCTTCTTCTTCTTTTCCCTTGGGGTGAGGGGCTGATCTGCCCATACACCCGCTGGGCTTAGTCACCAGTAGAATGAGGTGTCCAGCGAGAAACGACAGTGAGACGACAGCGAGGTAGTAGGCTAGCGGAATTGTAGTTAAAAGAAGGTACAGTACGTACAACATTTAAGATAGAGAACTAGTTGATGTGTAACTTTCGACGACCTATCCCATGCTCGTCAAGTAATAATCGCCGGCTATTAACTAGGCCTCCGGGAATACGCTGTAAAAATGGCTGGTTGAAGACCCACTCGTATTATTGAGAAATACGTTCGGCAGCGGCGCCTAACAACGCCATGAACGCACACTTGGTTAAAGTTCATGTCGTAAACTCTCACAGTCGTCTTTTCACTAGCCGTTCTGGCCTTGTAGCCTTCGACCTGTGTTGTTGCTAACCCCGAATCTATTACACCCAAACTAAAAGCCAGGGCTAGGAAAAAAAAAAGAAATCCAATTATAAAGAACAGAGGGTATATTTGAGTAACACTTAGACAGGCATCTGGATGAAGAAATCGAGAAACTTGTTCACAAAGTATATCAAATGGGGTTGGAAGCTAGCGCATTGTACGGTACATACATGTACCTAGAAGGAAATGAGAATTTCAAGAACAAGTAGTCTCGCCAAAGAGATGTTGTCTGGAATGGCTAGCAAGTTTGGCCGACCATGACTCTCGAATACCCCACTCACTGGGACTTCTTTGTGCCAGAGGGTGATTTAGCATACCCAAAGGCACCAAGGAGGTATGCGATGCGATTCACAAAGAGAATTCCGGTAGCTCCAATATTTCCCCACGTCAGATCATTCCACTCCATCACGTTGATTAGGTCGTGGAATCCGATACACCAATAGGTGGCATAGAGGTGTCCCACGTCTGCGATTGCCAATGCAATGATGTAGTTTCTGACCACTTTTGGCTCCGACGTTGAGTACAAAACAGCGACACCCGCCATCATCAGCAGCAGATACAAATTGCCAAGCTGGTAAGAGATAGCCTGGGTGCTTAATGGCAATTCTGCGGGCGTAAAGGCGTTGGGGGTCTGGCCAGCGACGAATTTGTTGGTGTTACCAATTGCGACACAGAAGCCAGCAATCCTATGAGAAGCCAGTGTTAGTTCATTTCCCAACATTCAGTGGTATATAAAAATAAAAATTTAGATACAGCGAAATTGGCTCCAAAACCGCGAAGAGAATGTGAGGCCATAGTGGGAGGATTGTGGTCATTCTGAATGTTCACCGTAGCTTGGACGGAGATCCACGGTAATTTCGAGATCTAGAGGAACTCTCAACTTATAAGGGTGTTTTTATCCACAAGCCGGTCCGTCTGGTCAATGAGACGATATCGAATCTTAATCGTTGTCAAAATTAACTTGACTGTTTGCAAAGCCGGCAGTTTCAAGGAATATGGTGACTAAGCGACTGTGAGAGAACACGTGATCGGGTGCTTATCCAGGTTTCCAAAATTCCCATGTGGAGAGTTTACTTCCTTTATGACCAGCGAGGTTCCTTAGTATATGATTAACGTCGGCAGCTGTGAACAAATGGCTACACAGTCAATGGCTTTGGGTCTTGCTGGTCGAGACGATGGACCCGCTTATGGGAATGTATACGATCCCCACGGCCGATGACCCCTTTAATCAACTTCGAGACTTGCCACAGCCCAACAATCTACGCATCCCACCTCTGCGGGATCCTATCCCCTCTCGCTCTCTCAAAGCTCCTTCACCGCTCGAGCCGAATGCAGGAGGGACGAGAGAAACTACGAACATCTCAAAATCCTCACTTTTTAGCGGAAACCCACCAGCTAAACTTCCTACTCTGGAGGACTTCCTGCATGCGGCCCGGGCATCTAATTCAGGCTCTGATACAATCTACGGGAAGGTATCAAGCTCTGATCCTCCTCCAAGGACGATTCTGCCGACGTTCATTAATCTCCGCGCGATCGAGAAGCTACCGTACGCATCCTTCGACGAGGATGTCCCACGAAAGCCTCGCCGACCGGAGCTAAGTGGTGATGTTTTTGGAGAACATCTTCAGCTTCCTATTCCCAAAAATCAGAAGGAAACACCTAAGCGTCCTCCTTTTGGGCCTTTAACGATATTAAATGGCCTAAATGAACCTCCGCCAAACGCCGCCTTATTCCCTCCCATAGAACCTAATGCTGCTCCCACAATTCTTACGCGACCAACGCGAGATACCCCAGCCCCGCAAGATAACGTAATTGGAAGTGCGACTAACGAACGAAGAGGCGGACGGATTAATAATATCATTGAACTCGGTATTGAAGATAGTATTGGAGAAATCGAAGAAACCTTCGCAGAGCAAGGAGGCCCTCTTACTCTTCCAGAGCATCATTCTTCGAAAGAAACTGTAGAGGAAAGTGACAAGGAGCCTGTATCGTCCAAACCCCAGACCCGGTCAAGGAAGAAGCTACGAAAATGGACAGAATCAGAGACGAGAGATCTATTACGAGGGGTAGTGAAGTGTGGAGTTGGGAATTGGACAGCAATCCTCGCCCAGCCTGAACTTAAATTTAACCAACGAACCGCTGCAAATCTGAAGGATAGGTTCCGCGTCTGCTGCCCATGGGCTTATGGTTCGGAACAGCACACTCTGGAAGCAGTTACAAATAGCCTCACGGATTCGTCAAATGGGCCGGAAGCTAGCTTATTGGGCAAAATCCTACTTCCTGATCCGCGGGCTAGCAGGAATAAGCAGGAACCAGATGCAAGTTCAACGGCAATCATCCTGAAGCCTGCCAATCAGACTACCAATATCGTTCATTCGAGCCTGGAGTCCCCGCCGGCCATGCCGTCTGTAGATGGAATTTTGAATTCGACTTCCCCTAAGTCTCCCGAACGCAAAAAGGCCCGGTCTTCAACCCCTAGAACCAACCTATCCTTGTCCAGCAAATCTAGATCAACCCTCATGTCCCTAGGCCTTCGAGAGCCTTGCCTGACCATTAAGTCTAATAGGCGTTCTCGCCGTCCATTCACACCAACAGAAGATGACGCTCTCCTCAAAGGCCATGCGGTTCATGGATTCCAATGGACATTAATTCGGCAGGATAAACGGCTGAACTTAATGCATAGGAAAGCAACAGATCTCAGAGACCGTTTCCGGACTAAATTTCCCGACGTCTACCGGGAAGGGGGCTCCGTAACCGCTAGTAAGGATTCTGTTAGCAACAACAACGGCTCTCTTGCTGAACCTCGTTCGACTCATGATAGAGATACACCAACGATATCCATGCTGCTCTCCGGAAACCAGTCGAAAACAACACCTACTCGGGCCCAATCTGACGTAGCTGACACTGGATCTGGCAAGCGACTTACCTCGCCATCCCCGTCGAACGATGTTGGTCCCGCGAACGCCACAGATCCAATCATGCTTCCACCTCCCCAGCCCGCGCTACCAGACTTGCCCAGCATTGCTAATACTTCATTATTCACATTCCAAATGGATGATGGAGGATCAGGTTGCGTGGACGGTAGTAGTTGGGGAGATAATACCCTACCTCCACTCGTCTGGGATGAGCTAACATAGTGGGTATATGCATTTATGATTGTATCTGACATTGTCTCTCGATGTGCTATATTCCAACCTTCTCTACTTGATCTTCATCCTGTGGCTATTCACTACCATTTTATATTAATATTAGTCATATTTTTTACGGATTTCCTACAGGTTAATGATTCAACCGGTAGTGTAATATAAGTGATTATTCTAAGGTGTCATAGGCGACTTATTCATATATCTGTAAGTTTCGGCCCCATCTTATCACACAGTCAACACAACCACTCAACATTTCACCATCCGATTGGCATTAGTTCACCTTAGTAGCCATGTTTATTTGATGTACGAGTACTGGAAATGAGAGCCCTTTACAAATCGCCAAAAGAAAGCTCAGACAGAGCTCCTAACAGCCGAACAAACGTCGCGTAATCTGTATCATACCGTTTAGAGAAATTGACAAGCGACCTTCTAGGCAAATGAGATATGCATATCGTATTTTTGAACAGGCTATAGAATACCGGGGTTGATGGTACATGGGACTCACTCTAGTACGTAACCCTGCACATGAGAGGGGGAAAATGTAAAAATCAAGAGTCTCCAATTTCGCTCCATTGTAGAGATAAAGATAAGATGGCTTATTGAAGGAAGGCTTGGTAACTTAGCTTGAAAGGATATATATATGAGAATGTGAAGGAGAATCGGGGGCAAGAAAGAAAATATACAAAGAACAGGGTGGAATACGCGCTTGGGTGAGTTGGTTAAAATAAAGCAAATGGTGTGCACGGAACGGCAAGAAGGAGTGAGAACAGGGCGAGAATGGGAGGTAGGAAAAAGATTATTGAGAACCTTCGATGTGTGTAATGGAGGGTGTAGGCGGAGATAGGAGATCAAAATCCAAAGAAACAGTACGGACATGTCAATTCATCCTGTCGTTAGTTTGATGGCAGTATCGGAATGGTCCCAGAAACACGAGGTTGCCAGCATTTTGTGAACAGATAACCTTCCATCCAGGCAAATATGAATGTTGATCAAATCGATCAAGGCATCACGTCCGTCACTTAAATACCTGATCGTCTGTTCTCCGCTTAGTGCTCTTAAAACATTCTGTCCAGATTGTTTTCAGTCGGGTATTATCGAAATGAAAAAGTAGGAGAGAGGGGGAAAAAGGAAGACACTCTGCAATTTTTTGACCGTCATGCCTCGTATAATTCTTGCGTAGCTCGGAAGAATATAATGTAGCGTTTTTTTTTTTAAAAAAAAAAAAAGAAAAAAAAAATCTGTCAAAGAGGTATATCCAATTTTGTTCCTACCATGCATTCCGGTCCCAATTGGGATCTAGTACGGGCCAAGTTAGCTGGATACGGGGAAATAGCTTTACACAAATGAAACGTTAATAAGAAAACAGTTTCTATATTTACCTTGCACAAAGCTCGCAAGCACTTTACTCCCCGTTTGCAGTAGGGGGTGCCCTACAACTATTTGCAAAAACCGCTGTAAACCTTCCCGTCTATGCTCAATTACGTCATCGCTGAACCGGTTGGTGAATACTTTCCCCGGAAGCGGTGGAATTGTCACACGCGCGCTCTCACGCTCCAATATATCTCTAAAGTATTCGAAGTCTGAATAGCGGCGGCGCACGACCGAGTGTTTAAGCTTGAAAGCGGGGATGTTGGTACGGCAGACGATTTCGTAGGAGGTATACATGTTGCGCGATGTGCCGTGAGTTTGAGGATTTCTTACCTGTTACAAATAGAAGACACCGGAGATCAGTTTGGGATTCAAGATAATCAGTGCTTAGGTAGTCAAAGGCGACGGGCAACCCCGCAAGCCATAGCCCTCGGGCAAACCGTAGGCAGGCCTGTATATGGAGGGGTAACAAAACAATTGCAACAGAATGTGTAGGTAGGAGTGGGTGCCTTGGAGTTAGATATATACCTCAATTTCGAGGAAGTTTTCAGGAGGGCCATATATCTCCTCGAAGGTCTGCTGGCGTGCATCTGGTATGGCCTGCATCTTCGTATGGCTTCTCTACACAACACCGAAACAGAGGTCTCCCTCAAGAGTGATACCAGAGCGGATTTGGAGGGGTAGCTTTGAAACAATGAGTTGTGAGGTCGTTGGTCGGATGGCTATGAAAATTGATTGTCATTCGTTAAAAGGATTAATGTAGGCTATGGTTGGGATATCAGGTCTAACCTTGGAAAGGTCGCATGGGCAGTAGATACATTTATGGACGCGGCGCGAGCATGCAAGAAGCTTGCTGATTCAGCAGTGTGGCCCGTGCGCCGAGAGGGGCCCGGGTTTATATTCCTCCAGATCCGATATTCCTTGGCACAATTGAGCTGTTTGCAAGCTCGGTCTCGGCAGGTCTATACCGGCGCGATAATGCTCTTAGAACTACAATGATAGTAAGACCACAGCAGGGAAAAGTATATGGAACAAGTACGGGGCAATCTGGGTAGGAGAATTTTACTATACGGCTGACATGACTGGATTTTAAGGGAATTAGGTTTGTATGTACAACTCGGATTTAACCTTATTTCCGCCGGGTGACCTTGGTGCACACTATACAAGCTTACTTACCATCGTTAACCAACTGTCCATGAAGCTGACTAAACCCCCATCCCCAGGTTCAGGTTAAGAGCTCCTCTCACCCGTTTATTGACGAAGCAGGCCTGCATTACATCAGCTAAGCGCTTCCGTCATGACCTCGTCGAATTCATCTCCCGGCAATCAACATGACACAAGACATATCTGGGAGGATGCTCCCGAATGGCTGATTGATGAAATCGACGGTGACGATGGTGACGATGGCGACGATAGGGATTTTGTGCCGGCAGATGACTTTGATGTTGAAGCAGAAGATGATGACGAGTGGGAAGATGAAGAAGAATCTGAGAATATGGGTAAGCCTTCCTGAGATGTCCTATAGCCAGCAGATCAAGTTTCTCCGGCTTTCGTCCGTGATGGATGTATTATTTATTATTTAGTTGATGATCTGACTGGGAAATAGATGACCAACTAGAGGAATCCGACGGGCATGGAGCGGATGACGAAGATCATTACACGGCCTCATGTAACGAGCTCCTTTGTCGCCCGAAGCAAAAGCCGCCGTTTGTTGATAATGATTATAGTGTCCGCCACCGAATTTCTTCGCCTTTTTGGGTCGGGTTTGCGTCAAGTGCTACCTACACACAGAATATCAGGGTTGGGATTTTACTTGGACGATAACGGCAACGATGTGTATGGAGGGCCTATATATCGCATGCACGGATCCCGCTCCGGCGAACACCTACTACCCAAAATACCAAGCGATGCCGGACGAAAGCTAATGTATTCGGGCGATTTTGGAAGCCATCTAAACTATGTGGATAAGATAAAACGAAGGAAAGAAAGGCTGGCCACGAGGTTAATGTGGAGGGAATTGGCCAATGGCCCACGACTTCGTCCACGTGCTATATCGCAGGTGCGCATTACCAGTAGTTCTATTTTGGATCTAGCTTCGCCCTTTTAGATCTAACTAGATGGACAGGATCTCATCCCCAATTCGAAAGCCGATAAAATCATTCATTATAATTCGAGATGTTACTCTGGATCCTTCTCCGACGACGGAAATTTCTTTTTTTCCTGCGCTCAGGATTTCAAGGTGCGAATGTACGATACGTCAAATCCACTCGAGTGGCGTTGGTATAAAACAGTCGAGTACCCATTCGGGCAATGGACCCTCACAGACGCGAGCTTGAGTCCAGACAACAGGTACTTGGCATACAGCTCGATCCGAAATATTGTGTGCCTAGCGGGAACAGACCCATCTTCAGACTCAGAACCAACTCTACTGAATTTTGCAAGCCGCTACGGCTCGCCCCTTAGTGGATCAGACTTTGGAGTATATACCTCCTAACGTTACATATATAATTAGATGGATAAACTAACCCTCTTTATCTCGTAGATATGGAGCATTCGATTTAGTGGTGATGGGCGCGAGTTGATTGCAGGCACTTCCAGTCAAAGTGTGATTGTCTATGATATCGAAAGCCGTACACCAATACTAACGCTAGAAAACCACGACGACGATGTGAACGCCGTTTGTTTTGGGGACAAGTCTTCGCCCCATATTCTCTATTCAGGGTCTGATGACACGACAATAAAGGTCTGGGACCGGAGGTCCATGGGAGATGGTCGTGCTGCAGGATGTTTCTTAGGCCATAGTGAAGGAATCAGTGAGTAGAAAAGAATATCTTTCCCGGACTAACCAAAGTGGCGTGACTATCCCGACTTACGTGTATGATAGCATATGTCGATAGTAAGGGAGACGGAAGATATGTATTAAGCAACGGAAAGGACCAAAGCATGAAGCTCTGGGACCTACGCAAGATGATGACGAGTGCAAAGCTAGATACAATCGACTTGAATAGCTATTCCACAGGGTTTGATTACAGATATATGTCTATCTCAGATGCAGATTACAGGCCCCATCCGCACGACTGTTCTGTTGTCACGTTCCGAGGACACCGCGTATTAAAGACCCTCATACGATGTCATTTCTCTCCTGATACAAGCACCAACTCCAAATATGTGTATTCAGGAAGTTCAGACGGCCGTGTTTTTATTTATAATCTCGACGCTACAGTGGCTGGCATTATCGATGTTGGAGAGGCCTCATTTAATTCTCGGAAACATGAACAAGATATGTTCCGCTCTTCCCGCCGAATGGGGCGGGCCGAGAACGAATGGGCAACGTGCGTGAGAGACGCCAGTTGGCATCCAAATGCCCCCATTATAGCTGGTAAATCCACTGTCCCCAGTGCATATTTAGGTTCCCCGGCTAACCACGTACGTCTTTAATTAACTCAGCAACTTCATGGAACGGGTGGGGCATGTCCACGGGCACCTGCAGCGTGCATGCCTGGAGCGATGGTGCAGAGCTCGACGAAGCCGAAGCTCCCATCGGCCAAAGCTACAACAGCAAGTTGGAACCCTTACAGCCCAGCAACCGCTCTGCGGAAGAGAGCCGATCATTCACAGGTCATATAATAAGAAATGGAAGAGTCGCATCATTCATCACGCTAGAGGACGACGATCCCCTTGACACGAACTCGTGATAGCCATGGCCTATTAGATGACAAGCTCTTGTGTTCATATGGAAGTCCGCAGAGTTACTGTTTTCTTTCCTTTTCCTTTTTTCCTTTTTTTTTTTTTTTTTTCCATATTACGCAGTTTTATGTCGTGATGAACATGTGCTTACGCCTACTCTCGTGTGTATTTATTCTTTACATACTCCTATCAGCCCCTCTGTTTTGCGCGGCGGAGATGTTTCTGTCGACACGATACCTCTGAGTATTTCGCGATTCTGCACCCCTTATCTCCTAAAATATGGGCGACATTTCCAAGATATCTCCTCAGTTTTGTTTAGTTGGCGCGGCACTTGCACTTGGCAACCATGTAGTGGCTAGCATCGTTTTCCTGATCGCCCAACTCCATCGCTACCCTACCTTGTTTTCTAGATGAAGGATGAGCGAGCAGTACATTGTCACAGATTCTATGTATACCAAAACCGTGTCATTAAAAATGCGAAGAAATGCAGCTCCCAATGCATTAATATTTATCTAGTCGAGAGATATATATATCAGCTTAATTAACGCCCGATCATCAGTAGAAAAGGGACAGATGAAATTATTTCCAATGAATGTAAAAAAGGGCAAAACACCGACCAATACAGGAAAAGGAGCTCAACATAAATGACGGCTGGATATTGTACATAAGCATAACATAAAGGAAATAAACAAGAATAATAGAAAGATGGCTAAGAAAAATTAACAGAGGGAACATAAAGTGCGATCTGCTGAACTCAGTTCCCACCAGCTTCCCTCTCCTTTTGTTTTGCAAAAAAATAAAATATGAAAATAAAAATTATCGTCTTTCGCTCAAAAAGGGATTCCTGCCCAATTAACAGCACACCCTATGATCATCGGCTTTTCGAGGAGATACTGCCTGGGAAGTTCGAAGGCACGGCCCTGCTGAACGGATAGGACCAACGAGTGCAGCAACAGAGTTTGTTTGATATTCGCGCGCAATGCTTTTATATTTTTCGTCTCTTTTTATCCCCCCCTCTCCTCAATTTCAACGCCGGGAGTATTATTAGACTCCCCCAACCGGTTATATTGTTTGATTGCTCACATCATGCGCCTCCAACGAGAATATTGTTGACGGGGATATGTACTGTGCAATATGGTTAGCGGCATATTCAAAAAAATAGAAGCAGACTTGGAAAGGAGGGAAACTACTCACTCAGTTTGATGAAGTAACCGATAACTCCCATGATCAGAAACCCGAAGCCAACTGCCTGGCTAATCTTGAGGAACTCGCGCTTGTCGGCTGATTGATGGCGCGTGTCAGTAGATGGAAGATGACAGGAGGGACTAGATCTTGTAACAATCAGCGTGAAAGGGGATGGGACTGGAGCGGTGGTACATACGTTTTGTACATCGGTTCATAAAGAGCATGCCATCTTTGACGAAATCCTTAGGGATATCCGCAAGTTCTTGGAAGGTGTCCGACATTGTGGGAAGAGAGCGTGCAGGCGGAATGCAAAAGAGATAGGAGGTGGTAAGGAGACAGATATATCCCTTTTTCTTTATTTGGTGGCGGTAGGAGTCAGAAGGAGGGAAGAGAGGAGATGTATTGGAGGTTGTTGAGGAGTAGCGAGATCACCGAACCTGTACGTACGGAGTATGTAGTAGGTGTCCTAACGGTAACTGCCTGGATCGGGTTCTAGCGCCGGCGATTAGTTATTCCAATTACGTTTCCACGTGATTCTGAACTTACTCATCACCGCCCAAGCTCCAAACTTGCTTCAACCGTTTCAAATCTCCCAAACCCACACGTCTTCCCCCTTCTCCAGCACTTTACCATCGTCATATCGTTCTATCTCTCTCTATTATCCCCTTTTTCTCTATATTCAGCTTGGCAGACTAACCTTTTCATTACCAGGGTTTTGTGTCGTTGGCGACGCGGCTGTGAGTTTGGCTTGATTGTGAATATTGGGCTTCAAATCGTCTCTTCACCTTGACCATTACCACTTTGACTGGCCCGCCATAGCTGACTTTACTATCCCCTTTTTCCCTGTTTCTTGTACTTCTTCAAAAGAAGAGAAATCGAGTGGTGGTGTCAACTGTTGTCTAGCTAGATCAGCTTGGCGAAGGAACTCCGAGAAATTGTCCTGTACAAGGCATCTTTGTCTTCAAAACATACTCCCAAAAGACTTCCATATCTCCTGCACTTGCCATCGAAGGCAGTCAGGTAGCTTATACTCATTCGTGAGGAACCAAGTCTAATCCCGCTTTTGCGAGTAACAATTGTGTTCTCTTTTCGGCAGCCTTGTACGGTCGGGATTTGTACGTATCTTCTTGCCTTTTTATCTCTCTCTTTGTCTTCTCGTGTTGTATATCCTGTTCATGCTATTTTTTCATATTTCTTTCTCGTTCTCCTTCCCGCCGTGTCCATCTCTAGACACGAAAGCGGCTTGCCGCGACTCATCTCGTTACCGGGATATCGCACTATACCTCCCACCATCTACATCTGGCCAACTTCATTCCCCATCCATGTCTTCCCTGTTGCTAATATGAGTTGTCCGACTGGCAGACATGTACTCTCCTTGAAGCTCATCGAGCCAGAAGCCTGTGCATAACGAAAATCAAGATCAATCATTTACGTCAGAATTCAGATATCCCGTACAGGAAATTCGCGAGATGGCTAATACTGAGGATGATAACTTTGACATTGACATTTACGGGGACGGTGGGGGTTACAATGGGAATGAACAAGAAGGCGACTTCAAGGGCGAAGAAACAGATATCATTCTCGATGCTTCGGAACAACACCAGAATGGTGAGGTAAATAACGAAGGAACGGGTGAGAAGTACAGTAATGGTAATGGCCAGGCCGAGAATGGCAGTCACAAGATATTTAAGACTGGAGAATCTAGTACCGCAACACCCCAGCCTGCGAAACCGCCTCAAGCCCAGTCTCAACCTCCAGCGCCACCACAGCAAGGGGTGAAGCGAAAAGAGAGTCATGATGATCGAACTGCGGATCCCGATGCTACTACTGCACTATTTGTTTCTGATCTATACTGGTGGACTACAGACGATGATATTAGAGGCTGGGTGAATCAAGCGGGTGTTGAAAACGAGCTTAAAGATGTCACGTTTAGCGAGCATAAGGTGAACGGTAAAAGTAAAGGGTACGCCGAAATTACCGTCAAATCTCGGATCTCAAATGACTTGACAACTAATTATCTGCTATGCTATCTAGACAAGCGTTTGTTGAATTCAAATCGCCCCAGGCTGCAACGGCCGCCAAACATAAAATTGAATCTTTCAACACGCAACAAAGCTCAAGAAAACACACCGTCACGTATACACATCCTCACACCAATCCATTCCGTACGTTACCAAAGGATAACCCTATGCGCGGTAAGGATGATCGACAAGCGCGTTCCGGATCGACTGGCAGCTTCGGTTCCCCTTCAACCCAAAGCTCCAGTTTCGGCATGAGCAGTGGCGGTGCTTATCGCGGGGGTCGCGGTGGAGGCTACAATCGCGGCGGCATGACTGGAGGGTTTAACGCTAATCGTAGCTTCTCCCAGCCGATGGGAGCTGGGAACTTCCAAGGTGGTGCCATGGGCGGCGGGTTCCAAACCGCCCCAGTTGGCGGCATGCAACCTTACGGCGGCTTTAATAACCGTGGCGGCATGATGGGCAATATGCGAGGTGGTCCCGGCGGTATGCGGGGAGGTCGGGGAGGTATGGGATCTGCGCCGAATCCTATGATGCCGGTTGGTGGGGTTGCTAATGTTGGTGGAATGGGTGCGATGGGCATGGGCGGCATGCCGATGGGAGGCATGCCCAACCAGATGGGCGGGATGATGGGTGGTATGGCAGGTAACATGGGAATGCAAGGTATGGCAACCCCTTTTCGAGAGCTAATTGTTTTGATACCAGGCCCAAAAGAAAAGATACTAACCGTCACGCATTAACCTAGTTCAAGGCGGCTTCCAAAACCAAAATCCTCATTTCAATCCTGCATTCTTTGGCCAGCCTCATGGCGGCAACGACGGCGCTTGGAACCCACATGGCGTGAAACGAACCCGCCAGGAATAAAACCCAGAATAACCTCATCTTATTGTTTCACTCTGGCTTCTCTTATCAGATGCTTTCTTATTGCCTTCGACTCGGATATTCGGTTTCCTTCAATCCTGCTTTTCTTTTCCTCACCTCTGAACCAGCCGAAATTGTCCTCGCTTCAAGTCAGCTTTTCCATCTTCAGATTCTTCTCCATTTCCATCAAGTTGATTTCCTACCGTTTTTATTCTAGGTTGTATTAAGGGAATTCAGATAACTTTCTTGTTTTCTTGTTCTTCTGCTCTTTTTTATTTTTATTTTTTATATGCTCTACTCCATCTTCGTCCTTCACAAATGGCCCTTGTATACTGGCCATGCTCATTCAAAGTGTTCATGACCTCTTTTCTCCCTTTTCTCCCTCTCTCCGCGCGTTCCTAATCCTTCATATTATTAACACTACCTTCCCACGACTTCCTCATTCTTTAAGTAGCTCTTGGTTCGCCATTTCTATACCTTGGTAGGTGGTATGGCCGCTGCACGTTGCTTAAACCTACCTCGAGAATATTTTTTTACGCGATTATGATGTGGCAATTTATTCAGCCTTGGTGGTTTTCTCTTTCTATTTGTTTGGGTCTCATTGTCTTTCCTTTGCAGGCTTCCTTTGCAGGCTTCCTTTGCTTCGTTCGTTTTCTTTCTCTCGCGTTTAACCAGGCTAGCATTCCTCAGGTGGGACCCGACAGAATTAATCTGATTGTAAAATTTGGATATTTTTGGAGCCCTTCGTGTACATGTTGCCTATGTTATTTCTTCTGGTATCCATTGGGGTCACCGACGCAAAATATATTACACCGAGATCTACTCACGTTCCGCTCGAAGACTTCAAGGATATACCTAAATGAGGCTTCACATTTCATTCTGCTGCAAAAATCTGACATTTGATACATAATGGAAAAGGGGGGGAAAACGAGTGTGGCAACCAGTGCGATGTCTGTATGGACCCTTCCGGGCGCACAGACGAATTACGTGGGTAATAATCATCGTGTTCAACATCATTCCTTCCTCCAAGACCTTCCCTCCCGCCTCGTTAAATTTCCCTCAGGTCTTGGCTCTGCAGGTCTTCCACACATATCAATCCCATGGGGTCTGTTTCGAACCGAACATCTCTGGATAGCGCCTCAAATCGAATGCCGCATGACACCGCCCTACCCGTGCGGAGAAAAGAGTGTGATACTTCCATTGTCCCTCAATACTCGGTGAATATGTCTTCGATGTTCCTGTACCTAATTATCGCCATCTCGAAATCAGGGGAAAAGGTGACCGACCACCCCTGGGGGGGAGAAACCTCCGGTAGATTACTCAATTTATGTAAAGCCGACTTTACGCCTTTCATTTTCTGTTCAGAAAAATCTCTCTCCAGTTCGCGGGAATCGGCTCATCTGGATGTTTCGCCTCCATGTGTCTCTTGAGGTTTTCTCCTCGACTGGTCTCATAGTCCCCGCTGGGGCACCGATAACGTTTCACCAGCCCGGGGAATGATTCCCCGTGGACACTCCCGAGGTGTCTCTGAAGGTCCCGCTCCCGAGCGAACTTTTTGGTACAGTTGGGGACTTTGCAAGGCCAATCCTTTACATGATATTTCGCATGTTTTCTTCAGCCAGAGGACGACGGGGGGGAATCGTATGTATTAGCTAAATATCTCTTGAAAATGGAAGAGGGGAAAGGGGTAGGGATATCTACCGGAGATCGCATCGACGTTTCAACTCTTTCCCGCAGTGCAAACAGAAAAGTTTCAACGTACGGCTTTCACCTTCACTTAAGGAGTGAGCCGGACTTTGTCCGGATGGTGAACAGGTATCGTTTCGTACGGTGGTAGCTGGCTGGGCTTCGTCAGCCGTACAACGCAAGAAATCCTCAATTTCGCAGCCTGCCAAATATGAAGAGGAGTAATCTAATGACGACTCCGAAAGGGAGTAGTAAGCGTCGTCCTGGGTTATATCCTGCTGCCGACCTGGTATGGGAGAGTTATAATAAGCTCCCTCTTCAACTTCAGGGGATCGGCTAAGCGTGAGAACCCTAGGATCGATGAATCCCTCTGTGAATGGCTCCTTTGGGTCAGGGTCGAATTGGAATATTGATGGATTTTCTTGAAGGTATTCTATGGTTTTGAGCGCGGTGCTCGCAAAACTAAGGAATGGAATAGGGGGATAATAGGAATAAAAGAACGTATGGATGCAAGTTAAAGTGCAAGCAAGAAATATAGAACTGAGCTGAGCAGCACAAAATGTATAATGCACTATTGAAGAAAGGAAATCCCCTGTATTTCTTCAAGAGAAAGCAGAGGAAGTAGAGGCCTTTTATACAGAGGAATTGGCTGAGCAAGGCGGATTGAGGCCTCCAACTGCTGCGGGGCGAGGCTTGGTATTTCATGCCAACACGGCGAAGCGCCCTGATGAAAAGATCCAATCAGAGCTGACGACGTTCCCTGTAAGTGCATCTTTTATGCAAGCTAAAATTCCTGGATCTTGGAGGCCCTGACGACCGACCGACGACTCACAAACACGCCAGAACAATTGAGACGGCCAGTCCTGTTTTCAATTGATTTCCTCTCTCCTGGGGTCCAGAAGAAACTTAAAGGGACTTTACCCGTAGACCATGAAAATGCCGCGCGTTCGTCAACGCAAGAACGCGATTTCTGCATCTTACTAGAGTCAGAAAGCCTCTTCCTATTGACGCCTTGCGCAATGGCCTGGGGGGTTTGGGGATAAACACGCAAAGACCGCAAAGCTTTAGCAAGAATAGGGATGGAGATTCAGATTTGCGACAAGATCCTGTGAGTATGATGTATATATGAATGTTGTGTATGAAACTTGTGCATCCATCATTCATCGCCATGCTCTTGAGGCTGAGCAACTTTGATGTTGTAAGACTCTGGTAAGGTAAGTTAATATTAGTTACCCCCCCGTTTTCGCTGGCCCCACTTGTGTCACGAAACCTACCGAAAACCTTATTTGAGCCTGCGCTGTATCTGCTGGGTCTGTGTGCATGCTGAATCTTCTCTCTCTCACAGAGACATCCATCCCTTTTTAACCCAGATTTGAATCTATTATTTATTTTGAATGGATGTCATATCTCAGTCTGGCGCCGAAGCGTGCGTGGTTTAATCTCCTCGGTGAAGCGGAACAAAAATATCAAGCTCAATGTCTAAGTCGCGAAGGCACCAGCGGATTGAGTTAAAGTTAGGGACTAAACTGCCGTCTCTATTGTCCATTAGAACAATATTCGCACACATCAAACAAAGAAATATATACAGCCTGGTATAGTAACTTGCAAAATTCTTCATGCTCTCCTACATAATAGGGGATTTAAATAGGGCAAGGCTCAAGCCTGAAAGTAGTACTTCTGGTTACGAGGTGCCCGGCTTCCCTTTTCAACACCATTTCATAAATAAAAACATCTCTCTTTTACAAGTTCGATTAACCGCAAAATGCCTTCCCATACTGGGACAATTGGGGTGCTTGATGCCCTTCCTGGGTCCCTACCTATATCCATTGTACCAGATGATGTGAACCCCGAGACCGTAGCGGTCTCCTGTATCGCAGGTCTGCATTTACTCACCGCTGCCGACTTCATTGGCGATGCTCTGTGGAAGGACCTGTACTCTCTGACGGGACTGCCAAGAACATTTTCCACTGCAAAAACGATTGAAGCAGCTTGGAACGATGTTTCCAGAATCCATAAGCCCTCTGATTTCACGTTTACCCCAGGCACAGCGGAGATTGTGCGGAGAATGCCAAAATTGTCTTGGGTGGAAGCCAGATTTACTTTCCAGACAAGAGGTTGCCCAGCTTCCTTTTGCTCCGGCATGGTCTCCCTTGTACCTGACGGGGAAGGCGGGTGGAAGATATGGATTCTGAGAACCATCCTGGAGAGGCTTAAAGGGCATCTTGATGTTGATACACCGAGTCCTCAGGCAAGGATCATTAACCCGGAGGCCAATCAGTTTGACTGTCTGGTAGTTGGTGCTGGCCAGTGTGGATTATCCACTGCGGGGCGGTTACAGTCACTGGGGGTTAACTATCTTCTCATTGACAAGAACGATAACATAGGGGATAACTGGCTTTTGAGATACGACTCAATGAAGTTACACACACTCAGAGCATATGGTAAGCAATACACCTTCCACGCAGCGCAATATTGATAGCTAAACCTCTAACATTACAGCGCACCTCCCATTCGAGCGGACGTTTCCCGAGTCCTATCCAGAGCTCCTGTCCAAATACGATCTTGCGAAGCGCTATAAATTATGGTCTGACATGCTCGGCATTGTGAGCCTCCCACAAGCTCTCAATCTTCCCCCAGTATAATTATTAGGTTAACTAAGCCAAGGGAATGATAGAATGTCTGGCTCTCGTCACAATTGACGTCTGGTTCCTGGGACAAAGACGGGAAGAGATGGAATCTGATAATTCGTCGTAAAGATGGGGAAACATGCGTCGTAGTCCGTCACCTCGTCCTTGCGACTGGAGCCGGGGGTCAAACTCCAGTGGCACCCACATTTCCTGAAAGGGTATGCAATATTAGCACTCTCTTTTCCTTGAACGATTGTCATACCGGTCAAAGTAATGATCTCTCTGCTGAAATTTTAACTAGGAAAAGTTTGGAGGCTTGGTTCTCCATTCCGTTGATTATAGATCTGCGTCTCAATGGAAGGGGAAGTCGGCAGTGGTATGACATCCCATTTCGCGCACCTTGAGGCAGTTAATATTAATTCTCCACTAGGTTGTTGGCTCTGCAAATACTGGTGAGAGATTACACTGGTTGAAGACCTAAAGCAATATCTAACCTCGTCTAAATAGCTCATGATATATGTGCTGATATGGTTGAAGCGGGCCTCTCCTCCGTCACGATGATACAGAGGGGACAAACATGTGAGTTATTATTTTTCTAGTTCTCTAGGCAAATTCTTGTAGCTAAAGACTCTATACTGAGGATATTTCTTTGTGGCTATTAGACGTTTTACCTTTTGAATACTACCAACAAGGTAAAGATGTTCAACCCCCAATCATACTGCTTCGAAATATCATGCTTATTACTTGGGCGTAACACAAACAGGAGCCAAGAGTAAGTTACTTCATTGTGATGCAATGTATGAGATGTTGATAAGGACTGATGAGCCGCAAGCGAGATACAATGACACATTTCCCACCGACCTAGCCGACCGGATTGAATATACGACTCCGCTTTCAATCGTCAACAAAATGGTCATGGCCCGTTTCCATGCCATGGTGAGCCAGAATACCGAGCAGCTCGACGCTCTAGAGCGTGTGGGATTCAGAGTGAAAAGATGCGGTAGTCCAATATCCACTCTGTACGAAGAGGGCGGCCGGTAATATATTGACAATTTTTATACTTTTCAAGCCAAACGTGCACTTATACTTTAGCAATAACTAACAGAGAGCAGACATTATATTGATGTAGGAACATCAGCAAAGGTTGCCCAGGGTCTGGTACGTTCTATTTCCTAAAAATGGCAATCAAATATCCATTTCTCCAACCAACGCAGCAGGGTGATGGTGATCGTTCAGGTGAGCTAATCGCCCTTTACTATTTCAGATCAAAGTGAAATCTGGCACTGCGATTTCCAGCTACAGTAAAGATGGCCTCATGTTTGATGATGGCTCTGAGCTGGAAGCCGACATCATCATCCTGGCAACAGGTTTTGAAATGTCTTTCCGTCCCACCGTTGCTAGGATTCTAGGCGCCGACATCGCGGCCCGGGTTGAGGAGTTTTGGGGTCTTGATGAGGAAGGGGAGGTCCGAGGAGCATGGAAACCAATTGGCCGTAAGTTTCAGCGTTGCAATTATCGATCCTTTTCAAACAATATGATTAATATCTCTCTCTTAAAGACCCGGGATTATGGTATATGGGTGGCCCTTTTGGACATAGTCGTTTCTTTTCTCGATTCGTGTCTTTGCAGATTAAAGCGGAGCTCGCTGGGACGCCGCTGATTATATACCGCCGTACGCCAGGTAAGGACGAGGAGGGCTGAGGAAAACGGTAATATTAAACGATTGCACCTCTGGACCATTCATATTTCGAAGGTCTAGTTACGAATAAACTCGCGGTTAATTTCGAATTGAGGAAAATATATATCGTTTCATAGAGTGATATTCTTATTCCTGCTTAAGTTGTGCGCATGAGACTACCTTTAAATGATCCCATCATTCTAGATACTACCAAGAAATATATTTGGAATCCTTCAGCGCGTTCAACCGCTCTAAACGTAGGCCTTACGCTGTAAGACGTTCATGTGCATTACTATGTACATACATGCACTCCTTTTACACTGCTTTATCGAATTCCACTTTCCGCAGTTCTGTTTCCCAAATCGGCCACGAGGGGAAGTCAAGCAGCCAGCTGGAATGAAGCTATCTGAGCACCTGCACCCTTCCCTATCTTGAAAAGGGGACCAAGCTATACATATATGCGGTCAGAAGCGAAATATAAAAAAAAAATATGAACGGATATCGCATCCGATCCAATCAGGTACTAGCACCCAACACAAGATTCCAAGCCCATTAGAATGAACCGCATAATAGGCAGCCAAGCAGATATGGAGGGAGTGAAGGCTAAGATCAGGCAGCTGCACAATGCGAAACTTCTAATACCCCATTCCTCCTAAGGTTGCTAGCGGTCTAATCTATAGATACAGTGTAATCAAGGATATACATACATTGGTTCAGGGTCAATGATGACATTTCTCAAGTTGTTATTATTTGAAGACCTACCCTCTTTTTTTCTCTTTTTCTTTCTTTCTCCCTTTCTTTTTTTCGGAGTTGATACCGGTGAAATTAAAAAAAAGTAGTCATCATGTGAAGACCAGATCAGCTGGAAAAGCAAATAGGAGATCAGCTAGACAAGCCTAACATGAGGCAGCTCTACCAGGCGTACGCAGTATGTATGGCTTGCCAATCCTGCAAGGCGAGCAAGACAGCTCCCACACACATCCTAGTAGGTTAGCGTCTCTTGTTGCAGGGACATGTGCATCCTACGTTACCTGACATGCATTACATTGAACTGAACAACCCTGCATTCCAAACCCCAGAGAAAATCCGGCACTTCCCATGTTATTTAGTCTGTTGTCAAGCTGCTGATTCGCCAATCCTTCAACAAATGCAGAGAGCAATAACTTTGTACTGAAAGTCCAGACAACTACACTCTTAGATACTTCCTTTATTCCTATAGTACTAGAAACTGTCATGATTTGATACTTTTGTTGAATCAAAGTAGGCTTCATCAATTATAATGATAATGAGAGTATTGTTTTCATCAAGATGGCTATAATTGCTGATAGTTAATGCTGGAAAAGGCTCTGCATGCATGACCTCATCTACTAGAAGATAACTTATGTGATATTACTCTAGAATTTGAATCAGATACAATGATCAAGATTCATAAGAAATCTGCAACAAATGCTAATATATTCTTCTCTTAATACTCTGTATCACAGGCCTGTAAAGATCTGCTTAATATTTGCCGCTCCACAGCTTGGTGAATGTAATGTACATGTACTGTACATATATAGAATAGCAGTAGTCCGCAATACGTACTTATATCACTCCTCCCATCAAGCGAGTTTGATTTTGAAAAATATCACAGCTGCCAAAAACTGTACTAATATTGAGAGTGGGATGCTTTCATCAAAGCTAACTTGTAGTGTAAATGATAAATGAGGGACTATGCTTGAATTGATATCAAAATATCAATGTCATTGGGATCATTACAGTATGCAGCATTTTTAAGATGAGTAGCCCCCCTTTACTACTACAGCAAACTGAGGCTGTCATTCAACCTTGGAAGTGATGGATTGTGTCACATGGTAGAATTCATGATAATCTCCCCAAAAATAGCAGTTTGTCTCCTTCACGCGTGTCCTCACTCACCTCTCAAATTTATCCGAACCTTTCTTTATCTTACCTTACCTTGTCACTTCTTCTTCTTCTTCTCCTCCATTTTCTCTTTTCCCCTTTGCCAATATGAAGTGAAGCCTTCAAGCCTTGTGTTTCCTATATTTGATCAATGAATCAAAATCAATAGAGGATTGCGAGGCGTCCAGTCCGGATAGGATACCGCAGTCGTAAAAAGCAGGAAATCATAGCGCGGCGAGTTGAGTTACTCCGATGCATCATCTGATACAATCATCCCTGCTACTTTTCTTTGTCCAACTTCCCATGATTAGCAGCCTAAACATCAGGCCCTGGTGCCCGGCTCTTCATTTCCCGCACAAACACTAACTCTTCCCTGGTCCCTTGGTGGACGCCTCATCTTTTTTTTGCAAAGGTCAAAATCAGCGAAAACGAGGCGTTATCAACTCTACTTGTCGGCAGTTATTTAATAGGCTGTGAATCGAGAAAGGGAGAAATGGGAGTGGGGGGGAGTTGGGGGAGACGACGGGATATACCTGTGAAACTAGGACATATAGATTTTGAGGATGCTTTGAGAGCGACTGAGCTCTCAGCTGATAAACCTACAAAAGACTGATCCATACAGAAGCAGAAAAGACTATATGGTGGGTGCTGAGAGAGTGTGTCATAATATATTTAAAAAACTTTTTGCCATTTAATTAACAAGGCAATATCAGATAACCGTCACACTGTAAAAAATTAATGAAATAAGTACCCTTTATATATGATTCTCATGTAAAAGATACCCAATTTCAATTTTATGAAAAACATGAATATCTTCAACATCATAATAGATATGGGTCTTATATTGTAATAGAAGTATATATATCATACTCCAAGTTAGACTGACCGTGTGACCGTGTCTGGGACCAGGACCAGATTTTTTGATAGTCCCATTACCAATTCGACTGATCCCATTACACGGTTTTAACATTAGATAGTAGTTCCATACTGTCCCAGTGGGACTTACTGTCTACTCTTGTCACATTTTCCAAATGAGACCATGATTTTCACTTCTCAATTTAAATTATTTTTATTGCTTTAAATGACTTTAAATCTCATTTGAGTGTTACCAAAAAGCATTACTTTTTAAAAAATTAAAAATAGTCTAAAAAAAACCTTAAAATGTCTAAAAATAGTAACTTTATGCCAAGAATGGAACTAAATGGGACCAAATGGGATCACTTTCTCATTTTTTTCAAGTCATGGTCCCATTTTAAAATCTGATATATAGTCACTTTGCATGCTTTTTTGATAGCACGCCAAGAAATGTATGGGACCAGACCAAATGGGACCAAATGTGAAATTCATGGTCCTGGCGGCCAGTCTACTCCAAGTATATTACAATGTTTTTTTCTTGATAAGAATGTATACCTATTTTTCTAGAATGAAATTTGCTAAATTCAATCGAATTCATCATAGCTGATTTCAAGTATGAGAGAATGACTTTTTTTTTCTAAATAGTATACTTAGAAGAATATACAAATACTTTCTATTATAATACAGAACTCATATCTATTATGAATGTTGAAGATATTCATGGCTTTCTATAAGTACTGTTTGTATGATGAACTCCTACAAAAGATACAAATTCTGTTCCAGCGAGGTAGTGAGCTGTCTGGCGCTTAGCAATCCACCTTCCATCATATAACTTCTCGCTTAGATAGCAATCATCAATCATTTTCACCTTTCATCATTACCATAGATCAGTCAGAAGGAAAGAAAGAAAAAAAGATGAAAAGATGGCATCACTTCACGGAATCATAATGGCATTGTCAAAGGTTTGTTAGTTGTTAAGGCAAAAAAGAGTGAACAAACATTAGCAAACACAAACAGATCGGGAACTCGGTCTCCTCGGTCTAGGCACCACGCCGCGCCTCGAAAATAAGCTAAACCCTCTTTAACTTAGTTACTATTTAGGCGCGCGGTCCCCACAAAACTAACGACTCCGCAGCCCTCATCAACAACCTCCAATGCCAAAGTCCGACAAACTACATACAACACCAAACTGAAACAGCAGTTATAACTTGTCAACCACACATCAACCCAAAGAGCCAAACGCATATATATATATAAACGAAGAGGAATAACCAAAACGGGAGTTGATAGTACCCAGAAATCCATCTCCGTAATTGTCCCAAAGGACAACCGGTGGGTAGGCCGAGGACGGGGTAGCGTGGATTGATCGGTTCGCCAGATCCACGAGGGTAGTGTTGAGGTTTATCCACTCTCAAGGTGAACTCTAGTTTGCATCACCAATCTTGGGGAGGATCGGAAGAGGGTGTGCAGCTAGCTGGACATCAAGAAAGAACAGTTCCTCATCCCTGGTCTGATTCAAAAAGCGCCACAGGGGGCTATATAGACCCGGATTTCGGTCCAAATGCCTATTCAAGGCCGCTTCCGTCAGAGGAGTCGTGGGAGGTTGCCTGGTACAAGACATAAGAAAGGCAACGATGTTAGCGATAGGCTCTTAGTCAGACCATTTGTGCAGGAATATTGAAGATTTCAAAGATTTGAGACCTCTTCCCGTGTGGGCTTTTAGTTTGAAATTGGTAGAGTTACGAATAGAAAATGAAGAATGGGCGATATGAGCCCTGATGTGTTTCTACAGGCAAGGGAACAAACCGGCCACGAGTGATAAGACAAAAATGGACGACACAGATCTGGGAGAAGAATGGGGAATGTTATATGACTTACTCTTTCTTCTCAACTGTTTTATTCTTGTTCTGACTCATTTTGAAAACCCGTGTTATAGAGCGGGAGCGTATGCAGTTGGAGTAACAGAAACAATCAGGTGTACATATATAGGTGTGTATAGATATAGACGTGTGATGTATCTGATAACTGAGAGTTAGGAAAAAGAGTATTTAGTTTCCAAAAAGTCGACAAAAAGAAGAAACAGGTTCATTCTTATATATCAGACCACCCGTTCCGACATCCAGAACATACGGATACGTATTGAAACTAAATGAATGGTCTTGTTAAAATCTTGCCCTCCCAAGGAGAAATACTTGCAGGAGTAGAAGCCCCCAGACTTGTAACTAGTTGGGCCAATCATATGCAAGCAAATGCTGGGAATGAATCTCGCAAGAACCCGGCCATGACAACAGGTGAGTGCGGAGATGAAAGTGGAAGGAGAAGAACGTGCATCGTGCAGACCCTAGTCAACTTCCTCGGCCCACCAATGCTTAAGTTACGAGAGAAAAACACACAAGCAGCCCACTGCATAAGCGTCCCGTTTGCCGTTGCCCAAGGGCTCTATCCCAACCTCGTGAACCAGGACACATTAGAAGAAA